TCCGCGGGGTCGCTCCAGCCCCCATTGTCTCCCATGCTTCAGCTCACACTGGGGTTATTTTTAGAGACCGGCCTTGCTGCACTGCGGAGCTTGACGGCTTTGTCCTATCAGGGGGCCTTCTCGCCCCCCGTCCTGCCTGCTTTCGACACTTTCATCGGCGGGGGGGGGGGGGGGGGTTGGGGCTCGATGGCATTCGGGGTCTGTGTGACCTTTACGGACGACTACCGTAACATTTATCCTGCGGGGGGAGCTAGCGAGGGGCAGAGGTGCTGATCTGCACTTTGACACGCCTCCCCAGATAAGATGGACCAAATAAATCTGGCGCAGGCTGGCGGCTCAGAGCTCCAGCAGGCTGATTTTGTTTCTCGCTCAGCCTATTTGGAGGAAACAGAATAGCACCATAAAGCTCTATTGCTTTTAAAGCCATTCCTGTCCTTGAGGGGCAACAGCAGTGCTGGAGGTGGGGCAGGGTGGGGGGGGCGGGGCAGGGTGGGGGTGTTCATGCTCAGCCGCCTGGGCAGAGAGACAGCGTCTTATTTGTTGCGGCTGTTGTTTAAATTGAATGCCGATGACAATTTACAGCCAGCGTCCAGCCCGGAGATGACGTGGCGGGGGGGAGTGAGGTTAATTTACTACGTGGTGGTGCTCCTCACTGGGGGGCCATGGCTGGGGTCGGGGGCGAGGTAGTGGGGTCTCCGAGGCTGAGGGGTGCCCCGTTCCCATCCACACCCATACACAGCCCTTTGACTCTCTCATTGGCTTGCTCATTAAACTCCGTGACAGTCATTCGCCAGCAGATTGGCTTATTAAGATAAGCAGAGCAATTATGACCCACTTAAAGAGGGATCGCCGGCTCAACGCTGCTGTGACATCAGAACCATTCTGCCTGCGACAGTCGTCATGTGACACACGGGACCGCCGACGGCGTCCAGTCAATGCAGAGACGTGGTGTCCTGGCAAAGGGGGTGGCATACCTGATACGAGTGGCTCACCGTGTGATATCTGCAGTCACTTTGTGTGTTATCATGCCAAATTAAAAAGTAAAGGAGAACAATGTAGCAGCATATCTGAGTAACCTTCAAATACCGTTCACTTTATATTGTTTGTCAAACACGCTCCTTCTCCTCTGCACCATTTGCATATTTATCACCCAGCCATCTTTTACCGTCTTATTTCCTTGCTGAATGTGACCTTCTCAGGTAAGGCGGCGGCTGGGGGCCGTGCGGCCGGCTCCCTCGCCTATCTCTCAGCCACAGCCAATTCCATCCTCACCACCACGCTGCTTTCGCGCTTTCTGACAGCCCTGAGTGATGGGAACATCCCAGGTGTGTATGATAGCATGGGGGGGGGGGGGGGGGGGGGGGGGGGTACGTTGTGGCCCCTTTGGGAAATTTCCCCCCCAACAAATCCCCCCCCCCCCCCGCACCCCCGGTGCTACCGGCGTCCGTGGCAATAGATGCACCTTCCCTGAACTGGCTGTAGGGTGCCGGACGTCGATACCCACTGTCCGGTCTCCAGTTGTTTAATTAGCGATGCCTGTGTCTTAACAAGAACAGATCTCCCCCTTAGCTTAAAATAACCAGCGATAAAATGAATTACTGAGCAAATGTAGGGATGTTTCATGCTGTCTTTTAGACACTAAACTAAAATAAAGTGGGCTGAATCACTGATGCAGCAAAAAAAAGTGAGTTTAGTCCCCAAAGCACATTTGTCTTGTTTTTAAAAGCTATTTTTTATCTTTTTCCCGTGGTTGTTACTGAGTTCCCTGGACGTCGCAGCCTTCTGGCCTTTCCATTGATATTGAGCGCCACCTGGTGGTGGAAACTGAGCGCTGACATGAAGAACCCAGACTGAGGGGGGTTTCCTGGTGCTGAAGGAGTTGCTGTAGATCTTTACTGTGCTCCAGGCTGCAGCAGAAACAGTGGCGATGAAACAGAGATAAACTGACATGTAAATCCTGCATACCACCGTCTGTCCACTAAGGCTCTTTCTGTGTTTGTGACCCAGGTGAGCGTATATTATGATTGGAGGGTAGAAGCATGGTTTTCTAGGAGGGGGGTCATGCTCAGGCCAAGTCCTGCCCAGCCGTCTTCGATGTGTGGGCCGGAATCAAGCCGCATCCTGTCATGTGACACAAGGAAGCATGTGGCGTCTGCTTCAGGCACCGCCGGGATCTGCAGCTAATGGAATTCCGCACGCAGGCGGCAGCGAAGGCAGGGATCCGTCTGCGGATCCTGGGGACCGGCTGAGCCGCGTCCCTTTCTGAAGGACAACGGGAAGAAACACACAATCGGGGCAGGGGGAGTCTTTGCTGCTATTTACAGGCCGGACCTCGCGTTGTCAAGTGTTTGTTTTTTTGTTTAAAGCCTGAGAAACAGGGCTGGGGGGTGAGGGGAGGGTCCCAATTGCCAATTAGCATTTTCCTGCCTCAGCACAAGCCCAGCCGGGATCAATAGGATATTAAGCTTGTGTACATAGCGCTGAAGTACACCCTCGCTCTGGCTTGTCTGAACCACGGTGCGTGAGGGTAGGTAGAGCTCACCACGTGAAATATTACTGTGGCTTCCACATGGGCCTTTCGGGGGCCATCAGCCCTGTGGTTCGGGTGTCCTTGCCTGACCACAGCTCACTGGGGCCGAGTGTGAGCGGGCAGTTTGCCTTGTTTGGGGTCTTTCGGTTCCCCCCAGGAAAGCAAAACCACGGGTTGGCGAGTAAGAAAAGATTTGCCATGTTAGTATAAATGGCCGTCTCTCATGGAGGAGCTCTGAGGCCGCTCTCCCAGCTGGGGTTGGTCATGAAACAGGACCATGTGGGGATATACTGGGTGGGGGCGACCAGGCTGCCAAACGGGGGCTTTTATTACAGGGAGTGACAAACAGTCACCTTCTGGCAGGTGCCGGCAAAACCCGAACCCCAGGTAGCATTAGCGGGCGGGTGAATGTGTATGTCACGTCCCTGGTGGTGCCTCTCCGCACTTCGGGAGTGGGGGGGGATCCCTGTCGCCTGTTTTTATCCCCCACTATGAACAGGCTTTTTATTCTGAGCTGGTCCTTACCTCTCTCACAGGTGTTTGATGTTTGATGTTTCAGGCCTCAGTGCCAGAGCGAAGTCGCAGGTCGGCTTTGGTCCTGGTGTCACCCCCCCAGCTCCTGTCATCTTCAGCTGCCCCCCCACCTCTTATTTATTTGTCTGCGGACTCCCTGGTGGTGAGCAGGCAGCATGTTCTTCCCGTTAGTGTCAGGCTAACCACACCAATGTCATTGTGGTGACGACATGCTGGTGGGGGGTGGGGGGGGGGCCTTCACACCACGCTGCCATTAGGGTTTACAGGGTTGCTCTTGGAGCTATAACCGGCTGTGATGGATGAACTGAGACGTGGTGAATCTTAACAACTGCGCTGGTTCCCACTTTCCTGTGGCTGATAACAAGCTATGCCGGGCGTCTGGCAAAGCTGGAGGGGCTCCAAAGCTCATCACCAGTAGAGTTTGACCATCCAAAGCTCATCACCAGTAAGGTGTGACCATGCAAGGTTCATCACCGGTAGGGTGTGACCATGCAAGGTTCATCACCAGTAGGGTTTGACCATCCAAGGTTCATCACCAGTAGGGTTTGACCATCCAAGGTTCATCACAAATAGAGTTTTACCATGCAAGGTTNTTCATCACCAGTAGGGTTTGACCATCCAAGGTTCATCACCAGTAGGGTTTGACCATCCAAGGTTCATCACAAATAGAGTTTTACCATGCAAGGTTCATCACCGGTAGGGTGTGACCATCCAATGTTCATCACCAATAGAGTTTGACCATCCAAGGTTCATCACCAATATAGTTTGACCATCCAATGTTCATCACCAGAGGGTTTGACCATCCAAGACTCATCACCAGTAGAGTTTGACCATCCAAGGTTAATCACCAATAGAGTTTAACCGTCCAAGACTCATCACCAGTAGAGTTTGACCATCCAAGGTTAATCACCAATAGAGTTTAACCGTCCAAGATTCATCACCAGTAGGGTTTGACCATCCAAGGTTCATCACCAGTAGGGTTTGACCATCCANCAAGGTTAATCACCAATAGAGTTTAACCGTCCAAGATTCATCACCAGTAGGGTTTGACCATCCAAGGTTCATCACCAGTAGGGTTTGACCATCCAGGGTTCAATAAACCCTTTGTTTGTGCTCTGCCATCCTGTGCCTTAGTCATGCCTCGAGTAGGTGCTCAGCACACCACTGAGGTACCCTGAGCAAGGTACCGCCCCCAAGCACTGCTCCCCAGGCACTGCTCCCCAGGCACTGAATTAGCTGCCCCCTGCTATGTCACAATGTCACATATGGGTTAAATTCAGAGAACACATTTCGTTGTTGTGCACTGTGTGCTGTGGTGTGTCAACAATGACCACTGATCACCAAATTCTAAATTCTAATTCTAACTCACCACAGCATAATGCCAGTGTAACCAGTCACCATGCTCTCTTTGCCTTGTGTTTTAAAGTGTTCTTCCCATGAATGACACCTCTTTTTTCTTGTCTGCATTTATTGACAGTGATTTCCTTGTTAGGGAGTCTTAATATCTAATCCTCTAAATGCAGGTATGGAAAGATGGCTGTTTGGGACCTACTGGTGGTTATTCTGCATCGGCCACTTTAAGGGGGCGTTTTACACCATAACAAGTTTCCTTTGCCGTTCCTTTCAGTATAAAACAGATAGAAAAGCAGAATCAATTCTATCTGCTTCGAGCCATTGCGCAATCAATATCTTGCCATAAACCGTAATTGAGTGATCTAAAGTTGCTGTTATTTATGGAGAGATTTTGCCCTTTCGTTCTCCACAGAAATGAGAGCCTTCCTTTGCATGATGTCTTTGCCCGTAAGGGCTCGCCTTACCTCGCCTCTGTGTTAGGTTTGCGGCATGTCACTTTGCCTGACCTCTCTGGCTAAACCATGTATCTCAAACTCCCATAGCTGATGGCCCTAACCTATGTCTCTGTCCCTCCCCCCCCCAGTACATCTAAAACCAGGGAAGGAGAAAAAGGTGGTTTTCCTCACGGCCCGTGTGCATCCGGGGGAGTCTCCTGCCTCTTTCATCTGCCAAGGTAAGGTGACGCAAGGGATGGTGACGGGAGAGATGGTGGAAGGGAGAGACGGTGAAGGGAGGGACGGTGATGGGAGAGATAGTGACAGGAGGGACGGTGACGGGAGAGACTATGATGGGAGGGACGGTGACAGGAGGGACGGCGATGGAAGAGAAGGTGACGGGAGAGACGGTGACGGGAGGGACGGTGGTGGGAGGGACGGTGACAGGAGGGACGGCGATGGAAGAGAAGGTGACGGGAGAGACGGTGACGGGAGGGACGGTGGTGGGAGGGACGGTGACAGGAGGGACGGCGGTGGAAGAGAAGGTGACGGGAGAGACGGTGACGGGTTGGGACAGTGACAGGAGAAAAAGTGACGGGAGAGACGGTGACGAGAGAGAAGGTGACAAATAAAGGTGACAGGAGAAAAAGTGATGGAAGAGACGGTGACGGGAGAGACGGTGGAAGGGATTGTGACAGGGGAGATGGTGACAGACCCCCTCATCATCCCCACTCCTCCTCCCTTGCCCAGATAACAGTGCTCATGTTTTGACAGCAGTTTAACAAGAGCCATTATCTCGATACTGGGGTGCCTGCATATCATGTCAAAATAATAGCAATTTAATCTCTTTAAGAGTAACATTACTCAAGCAGAGAATTTCACAAATTTGAGGGGCTTTTATTTCCTCTGTTCAGTAGAGGGGCGCTAGTTATAGAGAGACACGAAACAGCTTCACTGATACTGCGGCGCTTGAGGCATCAGAACGTACACTTCCATATCTAGCCCAGGTGTCCTGCAGGAGGCGTTATCTAAAACTGTTCTGGGCAGTTCCCGTAGAAGTTTGGTAGCTCACATTGGGGAGGATTTCAGAAGCATAGTTGTCATAGGCTCACACTGACCCTGTAAGCTGCATGCTATACGGAAACATGGATTGATGCTGGTTTGTCACGTGTCTCAATCCAGACTTTTTCTGAGCCTCATTGCAGCATGACGCTTAGAGCACATTTGTGTCTCAGAAGCTGTCCTCCTGGATTGGCATTATGCTGTGGTGAGTTAGAAATGTGTCTCTTTGGTACAAAGTCAAAGAAACACAAACCTCCAAAATGATCCACTTTTGATTTAGTTTATAGCTAAAAGAGTAACGTGTGTTAAGCAAAAAAAATGCTCAGAATGTGAATGTTATGGCCTTGTTATGTAACCCGTTTTAACCCACAGAGGTAAAGGTCACACCTATATAGAAATGTGCCCTATCCTTGGGATTCACATGAGCTTTATTTAGCGTTTAGCATTTGAGCCACGGAAATGAGTGTCACTGTGGCCGCCGCATGCAGACTGCCAGCGACACGGCCGCCCCAAAAGCTGCCGGACCCTCCACACCAGCCAAGTGCTCCACGCTGACCGCTTCCTCCACGCTGACCGCTTCCTCCACGCTGACCTCTTCCCCAACGCCAGTCGTTTCCCCCTCGCCGGCCGGGTCCTCCTTCACTTGTTCTCGGCAAGTCGCAAGGAGAAGCCAATGGCACAGCTGAGGCCCGAAGCAGAAAATCCTCTGTCCGGGCAGAGGACCAAGCGAGGGGGGTCAGCGTGGGGCACTGGCTGCCCTCAGGGCCCCGGGGCCAATGTGACTTTCAGCTCTGTACTGGCCCCACAAACACAGATGGGCACGGTCAGCCCAGGAAGCCGCCTGCTCTCACACTGCTCCAGCCTGCCGTTGCCCCCGCCGCCTTGACTCTATTAAAGGGCTCGTTATGCCTCCATTAGTGGTAATGATAGGATGAGAAGAGAGGGAGGGGGAGAGAGTGCAATGGGGGGGGGGGGGGGGGGCGTGCTGCCCTCTCTTTCTGTTCTGATATTCATCCTCCTTCAGTGTGTGATACAAACAACCAGGATGTGCCCCCCCACCCCCATCCCTTTCTCTCTCAGGCGGGTAACTCATCTCTTTCATGGTAATCAACCATATACTGCTGGCTTGTTTTATCCAATTGCCTGTTCAAGTCTGTTTACATCATGTGCAGACTGCTCTCTGATATTGCCCCTTTTATCATTTACTCGTGTTGCTTTTGTGGGCTTAGATCTCTTTTGTTTTTCTTAAGCAAAGTAACCACGCCCCGATAAGCGCTGCACATCTGACATGGTGTCACAGTGTGATTCGCCCCGGCGAACATGATCACCTGGCCCAGTGTCACACCGCACATGCTCGTCTTCCTCTAGGCGTCATCGACTTCCTCGTCAGCCAGCACCCAGTGGCACGAGTCCTGCGTGATCATGTGGTCTTCAAGATCGTGCCCATGCTGAACCCTGATGGTGTCTACTTGGGAAACTACCGGTAAAGTCCTCCACTCACAACCTCGACCACATCCTTCCTTGTTCTTCCTTGATTGTAGTCATACTTTCATATTCTGTATCATGTTCATACGTGATATATTATCTGAAGCAGCAGTTTCACCTACAAACTCAGGTTTGGAACCAACCAACCATCTTCTGCTGATCAGAGCCTGTAACCTATCTTTGGCACAGGGAGATCAGGCAGCACTAAGGGAGTAATGTGGGAGCACAACACTAGGGGGCACTGTGGTGGGAAGGTGATATACATATACCGAGGGAGTGGTTTGGTGCTTACAAATTAAAGAGTCTATAGGCCAGTCTCCAGAGAAACCAGCGAATCAGAGCAGAGAATCAAAATACCAACCCTTGAGGTGAGAAGCAACAGCATAACCCTCTGAGCCACTGTGCCACCTTTTCATAACCAATGTTCACAATGTTCAGAACCAATTACGGCCAAGTTAACACATTAAGCTAATAAAATCACATTTGTGTGGTGCTGTGAGCATGTAGGTTGTAATAACGTCTAAAAGCTATATGTTCATTTGTCCAAAGATTTGCATATCATTACATTCAGTAAAGGTAAATATAGTCAAATAATTAAACGGTGAGCATATAAAGACAGAAATAGGTCTGAATGCTACCTGGTAACATAAACCGACTGAACGAGTCTTATGGCGATGTGCACCAATCGGAGCTTAACTAGAGTGCATCTCAGATCTGTGGCCAGTACCCGTGTTTAATCAGGCTGTAGTTTAAAGCCGGCTGTGTACAAACCTCAGAAGCCCAGTGACGGCTTTGGACGGAGGCTGGTCACTTGAATGTCAAACGTGAGGTCTGAAGCTCACTAGCAACAAAGCTGACGCCGCAGCTGAAGCGCGGTCTGCCCTCAGCCTGCTATACCAAGTTACTCATAATGGTGGCTAACTCACCCATCTGCTGCAGATATTTTATAAGAATGAATGTAATCAGCGTTAATGCCTGAGACACTTAATGACCCAGTGGCAACAATGCAATGGAGCTAGATGGCAGAATTCAGGTTTTATTTTTAATAACAGTAGTAGTATTTCACAGGGAGCCCGTTTCTGTGATTTACTTCCAATCCCGAAAAAAATCTGCTCTGTGGGCTCTTCCAGAGGGCGCAGTGAGTCTGCTGAGGACTGGTTATTCTCAATTTTTTCCTGAAAATTTGTCTGGATGTAAGTTTTTATTTTCTAGCTCGCCCCATTATGTCAAAAATAGCTCTTTTTAATGCACATTTTGACATAGCTGCATTCAAGAATAAAAAAAGAATGAAGCAGTTTGATCTGTATGAAAATAAGTGCCTCTAGCGGGCGGGAGGACATTAATTGCACTGATTTAGAAAAAGAGTAAAGAAAAATAGCTGTAATTATCTATGCGGAAACACTTTAACTCATCTGAAGATTTATAGCTAAGCAGGACCAAATGTTATAGATTTGAATTAAGTTGCGGGGGATTAAAAGGGAAGCAGTCAATAGGGTCTCAGCCCCCTCATTTCCTCCCCCTCCCTTTATTTCCAAACATTAGCCCTTAGATTAAAAAACGCTAGCGCTCCACTTTCTAACTTTTTTCGCGGTAATGTTCGCCTGGAGAGCCCAGGGCCCATGCAGATGTTTCTCTGGTTTTGCTCCCCGTCGGCTGTGGAGGACACATCCTCCCCGTTTTTTGTCATGTTTTCATGTGACAGTTTTTTTTTTTCCATTTTCTCTTTTTTTTTTTGTTTGTTAACTGTCTCTGTGCCCAGTTGGCCAGCCTCCCCACACATTTTCACGTCATTTGGCAGGGCTGCAGTTTGTGGTCTGTGGGTGTCATTTCTACCTCCTGCTTTATGATTGATTTTACAGAACGGCACAGACCCATGGAGATGCATAAGCGTCTATCAAACGGTGTTTGCTGCTGCCATCTAGTGTTGGCTCTTCTGTATTACACCTTTTTGTCCGGAGAGCTGTCCTCAACGTGACCTAGATGGAAGTTCAAAAATATTTACAGCTTTATCAAATGTCGAAAATGTCTGGATCTAGATGAGCAGGGCTGAACTCCTTTTGAAAACACATGTGCTGATATGCCTTTCCAGCATGTTAGCAATTGACTGCGTGAAACACGCATGTGAGGAAGCGAATTGGTCATGGCTGACCACAGATCAACGTCTGCAGCCGTCGATACCTCGCCACTCCCTGGTACTCATGGCAGTGCCATGTATGGGCTCCTGCTTTGTTTTATTGAATTCATACCTGCTGACATCAGGGCACCCTGATGCTATGAACTGATTATCTGTGTGGAAATAATCTAGTCACTCCCAGTTGTACCACAGCGACTCCCTGAAATGAACTGGCCAATTTAAAAAGGCCAAAAACCTTCTTTCTGTGTCTTACATATACAAATATATCGATATCAATAGCATGATTTTTAAATCCCCTGAGCTGGTTACCTACAATATTTTATATCCATTACAGCAAAAAAACATGGACGACACTCATAAGTAGATATAGGATTAGAGGTTTCTGATATTGCACGGGACGTTTTAATAGTTCTGGTTTTAAATGTCCTGGAACATAAAAATATATGGAAGCTAGGAAGAACATTAAGGGTTATTTACATAGTCATGTGTCAAGTTCGGTGAAAGGCGTAAATTAGTCATGAAAAGCTGAAATGTGAGCGGAGAGAGATGTGATATAAAAAAGTCTGTCTTTAGGGGACAGGAGAAGGT